TCGTGTCTATGCTTATGCCATGTAGGTGGTGGAGTCGACGCCGCCTTCAGGGTATTCACTGTGCACAGTGGTTAGTTGTTGGTGCAGACCTTGGGAGGAATTGAGGAAGTACATACGGAAGGGCAACTTCAAAGCGCTTCTCAATGTCCTTGAGAACCTTCTCGTCATCCTCGCTGCTGACGAAGGAGATGGACAGACCCTTGGTACCGAAACGGCCGGCACGACCGACGCGGTGAAGGTAAGAGTCGGCATCGGCGGGGAGGTCGTAGTTGATGGCCAGGTTGATCCGCTCGATATCGATACCACGGCCGAACACATCGGTGGCAACGCAGATACGCTTGTTGAATTCCTTGAACTCCTTGTAGCGTTTGATACTGAAGACAAGTCAGTCAGCATTGATCCTAAATGTGACGGAAAGCAAAACCTACCGCTCCTCCTGGCTGACACCGGAATGCACCGCGATACTGGGGAAGTTGCACTCGCGCAGCAGCTTGTCCAGCTCGTTGGCACGGAGAGTGCTCTTGACGAAGATGATCACCTGGTTGAACTCCAGGTTGTCCAGCAGCTCGTTGAGCTTGCGGTTCTTCTCGGCTTCGGAGAGCTTGATGTAGTACTGCTGCAGACCGTGGAGGGTGAGCTTGGTGTCATCGTCAACGTAAACCTCGAGCGGGTTCCGCATGAACTTCTTGCAGATGGGACGGATCTCCTGGGACAGGGTAGCGCTGAACATCATAACCTGCTTGTCGGCGGGGGTGGCACGGAAGATCTCCTGCACGTCGCGGCGCATGTCTACAACGGGATTAGTAATAGCCTCGTCTCAGTAAGAGCGAATACTCACCAATCTGATCCAGCATCTTGTCACACTCGTCGAGAACGAAAGCCTTGACATTCCGCAGCGACAGTTTCTTATCACGGACCAGGGCATTCAGACGGCCGGGAGTGGCGACGACAATGTTGGGGTAGGTCTCTTTGCTGGACAAGGTCTGGACATCGTTCTGGATCGGAGTACCACCGTAGAAGACAGCAGTCTTGACGTCGGGCAGGTACTTGCTGAAGCGTGCATACTCGTTCTTGATCTGGTAGGCCAGCTCACGGGTGTGGCACATGACGAGAATCGAGCACTCGCCGGGAACGGGCTCCAGCTGGTGAAGGGTGGTCAAGACGAAGACCGCGGTCTTACCGAGACCGGACTTGGCCTGGCAGAGAACATCGACATTCAGAATCGCAGTGGGAATGCAGACTTGCTGGACTGTTGGGAGGCGGAGTGGATGTTAGACTGTATTCGAGACCACAGATGAAGAAGGCAAAAAACAATTCGCGTCGTCGTGTCCGTCCATTTTTCCTCCCGGTTACCACCCAATCGATATCGGAGATGCACAATCGTCCACCGCGAACTTGTCAAACCGAAGCCATTACCATGGCCAATGTTTTTCTGCAGACGACACGAGGGACGCCTTGTGCGATGAAACGACAGTATTCAGATCGCACGAGATCGCACGTCTTCCCACCGAGACACTTCCGCTCGAGGAAGGCAATCTGCCACGAACTGCACCGCAACAGGGGAATGGGGTAGTGACAGTCGCACAAACTATCAACCCCATGCCGTCTGCAGATTTTCTTTTTTATCGAGTATGGGCAAAACTGCCAATACCGACCAGAATAGCTCCCCCGGAGATGGACGGACGGACGGACGTTGGAGAATGTGGAGGAACGCTTGTGGGAGAAATGAGTTAAACTAACCCTCCGATGGATGTTCGAAGCCGCAGTCGGTGATGGCGCGCAGGAGTTCGCCCTTGAGCAGGAAATCACGGAAACCGGTCGAGTGAATGCCGACATAGCTGCCCTTCTTGTCGGGGCGGCCACCGGTGACGGTCAGATCGCCCGTCTTGGCACCTTCGCCATTGGCGGCATCGGGAGCCGCGGCGGTCGCGGCAGCATCAGTGGTCTGAAGCTCCTCGTCGGAGTAGTCGATGAGATCCTCTTCGTGCGACATGGTTGCTGACAATGGTGGGTGTCTGGGTAAGGCCGTGCGGGTGGCGCGAATTGGAAGATCTGGAGTAAAGGGGATAAAAGTGGCGGGCGGGAGGAATTGGGAGAGAAAGAAAGCGCTCCCTGGGGGTTGAAGGGGGAATCAGGGGAGATGGAGAGGGACAAGAGAGATGGAGAGATGGCAAGTTGGGGCAGGCTGCGAGGGATGAAGAGATGGGCGGGAGCCCGGTCAGGTGATGCGATTAGTCACACTCAGCCGCACCGCTTTCGGTTAGTGCCGACCGACACATTTATTCTTCATTATTATTATTGTTGCATTACCAGCACAGTGCAAGATGGCCAAAGGCAAGAAAGAGCCCAAAAATGTCAACAGCCACATCAAGGCCCGCCTGGCGTATTTGCAGCAAGCCGCGGCCCATTTCCAAGCCTCTGCCTCACAAGAGGCAGGCAGCCGCCGGGTAGATGGCACCGACTCGACACCTGCACCGCGCGACAGTCATCCGATGACCAACCTGTCGAGGGTATATCTCTCCCAGATGCGCGGGGTGTCCTTGAAAACGCAAACCCGACTCCCCATCGAGGTGAAGAGGTCATTCTGCAAGCGCTGCGATACGCTCCTGGTTCCCGGGGTAAACTGCTCGCATGAAGTGCAAAATGCCAGCCGAGGCGGCAATAAGCCCTGGGCGGATGTACGGGTCGTGCGGTGTCTTGTCTGCAAAACTGAGAAACGGTTTCCTCAGACCGACAAGCGAGGCAAGAAGCTGGTTGAGCGGCGGAAGGAAGCGATGCCGCCAGTCGAAGTCGACAAACCAATTAGCCTGACCTGAAAACTTATGGAGTCCCGGGTATTCTTTGCCCGGGCGACGTATGCACAGCGGTGCTGCCATGACGCCTCAGCGACGCCTCCCCGTGCATCTCGGCTGTCAGATCTGGACAGTCTACGAATCGGAAAGTACAGACAAAAGTCCCGAACCGAGAAAGTTTTAGACAAGTCAAATACTCTTCCAAAATACGGTGTGAAAATATAAGACCGGAAAGGCGGTGATCAGCACGCCCGCCGTGGGCACATCACACCGCACAAGGCCAACCACACAGCCTGGATCAATCAATGTACACGAAGAGAACGAGAACAGTCATGCAGAGAGGGGAATCAGACTTCGCAGAAACCAGAAATCAACACAGCAAGAGAATCACGTTTACGCGCTGTTGTGATGTTTCATCCGGTCCCAACGAGAAACAAATCATGCAGATAGCATAACGAATGTCCAAGGAGAACTCCAGCGCCCATCAACCGGAAAAGGCTGCACTTGAGTACAGATGCCGCGAGGCACCGCTCTTTTCCATTGCGCGAATACGCAGAAAATAAAATCTCGGTTACTGTCCGCGAGGACGATATGGTATATATAGGTTTTGCGGTTTTCTTGTTCGGATCAAGCGTGACTATCCCGTAGCCCGCGAGGAGGATGCGAGAGAGCAGGAGGAGGGAGGTTAGAGGTCGAGTAGGTATATCACCGGCGATTAGGATGAATGGTAAAATCAATGTCGGCGACGCGAGGTGTGGTCGAGGCGATGATCTAGGCTCTCGATGCGGCCGCGGAAGCCCTTGACGATGTCGCGAATGTGCGAGATCTTCGCCAGTTCGTTATCCAATTCATCGATCGAGGCGAGGATGGAGCGGGTGCGAGCGATCTCGGCGTCAGCATTGCGGATCATATTGCCCGCGCGGTCGTAGGTGTTCTGGATAGAGAGCTGCATTTGCTCCTCGAGCTGCATGAAGGTTAGATGGGTGATCCTGCAAGATCTCACGCAACATACATATTCGATACGACCACGGATCTGCGCCTGCAAGCCATCCAGCTGGTGCGACAGCGCGCGAAGACTCATGGGGTCCAGGAGCAGCCGGCCCTGGCTGCTGGCGGCGCTGGTCGCGCGCGAGCTGGAGTTGCTTGTTCTCCCTGTTCCTCGGCCCCTGGAAATCCCATTGCTGGCGTGGCCCTGGAGGGCGATCTGCTGCTGCTGGCGAAGGATCTGGATCTCGGAGGAGGTGAGGCCAAGCGATGTGTCGGGGATCGAGGCTGAGACGGACATTTGGTCCCGGCAGAGACATGCTCCGACCGCGACAGTCTACGAAGCGCCGATCAAACTGGATGAGAGGCCGAACGGACCGCAGGTCATGGTGGAATAAGTCAGGAGGGAGGGAGGGCGTGGCTGTAGTTTGGGGGGAGGAAGATGGGGCGCGAGAGAGAGAGGGAAGAAAAGGAAAAAGGAAGAGGAAGAGGAAGAGGAGAAGGTGAGATGCGGCGGCGGCTCGTCGGAGATTCCAGTGACAGGCAGCGTGAAGAAGGACAGTGCACACCTTGCTGGGATACCTCGGACACAGGGAGGGGATCAAAAAGCAACACCTGTGAGACCCAGGGTGTTTGTACTGGGACTTGTATGACGGGTGGTCTTGTCTGTGCGATCTTCCTTCCAGGATATATATATTATCGCCCGAGGTGAACCCTAAACTCGTACCTACAGGTATATCCTGCTACATACTATACTCGACCACTCGTGATAATCCCTATAGTCCCTCCTACGATCTTAGCCCTACTTAGTCCGTCGCCAGAACCATGGAATGCCCTCCCGCTCTCCGCCTTAGCTTCTTCTTCTGCCCTCATTCTTCGGCGCCACCCTCTTTCGACTCACTGATTAGAAAAGGCCCCCCGCTTTCTCCTGCCTAACCCGTGAGGCTGAAGTAGCGCCGACTTGCAGCCCTCAATTAACGAATACGCGCCCGAGTCCTCCCTCCGCCCGCCTAATGACCTGCAGCTAGAGCGGCAGCACCATCCATCTTACCTCATTCCCGCCGGCAATTCTCGACCAGCCAAAAAGACCACGAATAATCACTGATTCCCTCCCCCCAAAAGCCACACCCCATCCAGCCAGTCATCTGCGCCAATCCTACCCGTTACTAGCCCGACCGAATAAACCCAAATCAATCACCACACCAACCGCACCCATCCACCAGAATGGCCAAAGACAAAGACCGCGCGCTCAACCCCGCCGCAGCGCAGCGCAAGCAGGAGAAACAGAAGAGCGTCAAGAAAGGCAAAGCCGAAGCACAAGCCCGACGGAACGAGAAGCTCGCGCGCCGCAACCCAGACCGCATCCAGCGGCAGATCAACGATCTCAAATCCGCGGAGGACAACGGGCAGCGTCTTCGCCCGCGCGACAAGGAGGTTCTCGAGGCGCTGGAGCGCGATCTCAAGGCTGTTCTGAAGGCGCGCGAGGCGCTAGGTGAGAAGGCCCCGAAGTTTGCTCAGCATCACCACCATAACCAGGAGGGTTATGGACGAGGCGGAGATGGGGGCGTGCTGGGCAAGCGGCGGCGAGGCTCAGAGACGGGACGGTTCCAGCCTGAGTCGGAAAGCAGCGAGACGGACGAGGACGTGCGGCGAATCCCCATGCCGCGAGATACGCCGCCGCCTATTCCGCGCAGCAACCGGCAAGGAAGAGGAGCAGATGCAGGTGCAGATACCGAGACGAATCGCAACGGACCACACCCCTTACCATCACGCCCGACAGCTGTGGAACACAAGACCGTCTACGAGGCGAAGCCCGAGATCCGCAATTTGCGACAGGAAGCGACCAACAGGTTCGTGCCGGCGGCTGTGCGGCGGAAGCAGGATTCTGTCCGGGGAACGGGGAAGCTGCTCGAGCCGGAGGAGATGGATAAATTGGAGATGGCGGGGTATACAGCTGGACCTGGACGTCCTAATACGAGTCAACAAGGACAAGAACAACGACAGCAGCCTGCGGAAACCATCAGTGAGGAGGAGCAGAGACGGATCGAAGAGGAGGAAAGGCGGTTTAATCGGGAATTGAAGACGGTGCAGATTGAGGAGGTGGAGGATGAAGATGCTTGATCTGGAGTGCCATGGACCTAACTTGAACTTGTATTATATGGCATTTGTATTGGTTAAATGTGCATGCACATGAATGAAAGAAAGGATTGATCATCTTGACTAGAAAGTCAAGTCTCTCATACGCGTGCACTTACACCATACTCTCCGCCGTACGATAGAAGAAGGGACTAGACTGGACACTGAAGAGTTCCGTGAAATTCTGATATGTACACCAACAACAACGATGACAACGATTCCAAAACTCCATACCGCTCAACCGCTAACACCAAATGAGCTAGAACGAAAAAGAGGATCGAGGCCGACAAAAGGGCCATCAAACGAGGGACAGAGAAAGCTTCCAAATGAATCCAAGACACCAAATATCTGTCTGTGCATTGCTTGCCTGCCCTCTTGGAAGGGTGAGTAATCACCGGCATAGCAGACCTGATACAACGACAACATGTACAGTTGAACATCCACACGGGGTCACAGAGGAAAAGACAATGGGAGAGGCCGAGTAGTTGCTGGGAGAGTGGGGATATGCACGGTATCCTCACAGAAGGGCAACAAACAAGGACGGCAAGACGAGAGTCGGGGGGAACTCCAATTGAGACCGTGAAACATGGGGAACGGGGATGGGAAAAAGAGGTATGGGCAAGAAGCGAAGATGAGGAATGAAAGAGGATTAGCACCGAGACTCCGAGACCAACTCCGGGGTGAGAGCAAAAATTAAACACTAAAGACCGAAATAATAAGACGCAAAAGAGAGGGAGGGAGACGGGGAAATGGAAGAAATCAAATCACCGCAGGTTGCGAATGACCTTCTTCCCGCGAGCTAGGAAGGGACTGGGCATCTCGTCGCGCTCGGGATCCCAGACAGCAGGTGGTTCGCGGTCTAATGATTTCATACTCGAGCAGGAGCCAGTAGCTTTAGAGTCGCTGGCACAGCGCTTAAAGTCGTCCATTGGACGGCCACCGGCTCGTGCCTGCGCGAGTTCCACGAGAGTGCGTCCACCCATGTTTCGCTGCATGACAGCCTTGAACATTTCCTCGCCTCCGCCGGTTGCTGTCTTGGAAGAAGGCTTCGAGGCACTCCTGCGAGTGGGAGATCCAGATCCGGCATCGGCAGCGAGGTTGGAGGAAGATGGAATCTTGGAGAGGCGCCGATGAGGCGACCGGCCCCTGCTCTCGCTCGCAGCGTGTCGGGATTCAGGCTGAGAGGAGGGAGCGGCGCCGGAGGGCGACACTTGAGGAAGACGAGAGCCGTTCGATGGGAACAGAGGTGGCTGGGTGCTGAGTTTCTGCATGAAGGTCGCGGTGTTTTGGCGCAAGAGGGGGCGTGGAGGCGCCTTGAAGGGGTCGGGCTTCACCTTGGGCCGCGTGGGCGAGGGCAGATCGGGCGTGTCGTCTTCATCGTCCGAGTACGCCAGTGTGGGCTCCCATTTGGCTTTCTTTTGCTCGCCCTCGGCGAAGATGTTGCGGCCGCCTCCGGCAGCAGAGGTGCGGCGCGGAGACAGGGAAAGCGAAGCGATGGACATGGGGGAGGGCTCGCCCATCTGGACATCCATCGGTGATTCGACCACCGTCTTCGACCGGCAGAATGGGGTGCGTGCCTCCCGCTTCGGGGGTTTCCTGGTGTGTGAAGTGGGCGACTCGAGGGAGACCTGGCTGAGGTCGATGCTGGACGGGGCATCTGACTCTTCTGTCATGCTGCTAGAGGATCGGGAGCCTTGACCACTGCTTCGAGATGAACGCCAGCCCTGCCGGCTCGTGCGGAAGTTATCGTCTCGTACAGGGGGAAGGGGGTTGCTGTTCCTCTTCTGTTTCTCCACCTCAATTGCGACTCGCTCCTGAACCTCAGACTCAAATTTCTTGCGAAGTCGGTCCAGTTCGTCCTGCACCTGCCGGTCAATCTCCAGCCGGGCCTTGACCTCCCACTCTCGGCGGACAGTGTTCTCGATCTCGGCCTTGAGCTGCTGCTTTTCCTTCTCCAGTTTGGCGAAGTTTTGTTCCATCTCCCGGACTTTCTGCACGGCCACTTCCTCGCGCTTGCGTAGAGTCTTTCCAAGATCAACCACCTCTTTCTCTTTGCGCATTAGGCGGATTATGGGGAGATTGATCAGAGCAGCGGTGTCAGGACGATGGTCGGGGTTAACCCGCAGACAGCTTCCGATGACATTCTTGAGCTCCGGCGAATAGACATCAGGAAGGGGGTCAAATTTCCCTTCACGGATCTTTTGGACGAGCTGGATGTGTGTCCGGGCATTGAATGGCGGCTCCTTCTGGCACAGCTCATACATGATACAACCGACCGCCCAAATGTCGGAGCGTAGGGTGTATTTCTCGGCGGCACAGATCTCCGGCGACATATAGAATGGCGTGCCCACGTACGTTGACGCGAAATCGTGTGATTGCATCTGTTTCGACAATCCAAAGTCGCCCAGCTTGACCGTGCTGTCACTGCCCAGGAAGATATTCTCGGGCTTGAGGTCGCGGTGCAGGATCGTCACCTGGCCCTGCTTGCCCTTGAGACCAGCAGGCTTGGAGGCGGGCCCGAGAATGTTTGATCCCACATCGGCCGGGTCGGCACCATAGTGGCACCGGAACAGCGCCGTGACGAGCTGGGAGAGAATACGCCAGACGAATTCCTCCTCAGCATACTTGTTTGTCTTCTTCAGGTTCTTGATGACCATTCCCAGGTCTCCCCCGCCGCAGTATTCCATGTACAGGTACAGATCCTGACTGGCCTTGAGGTGTTCCCGGTGATAGTACGCGACGATGTTGGGGTGTCGAAGGGAGCTCAAGATGTTGAACTCGGCCGTGAGCTGTTCCCGCTCCTTCTGCGACATTTTGATGTAGTTGATCTCCTTGCGGCATAGTATCTAGGCATCGAGTTAGAGGATTGAACATGTTGTCACATTGTCGGGGAGTACATACGAATCCATCGGATTTCCGCTTGACTTTGCGAATGATGCCAAAGGAGCCACAACCTAGAGGGGAGTTAGTGTTTGAAAGTATCCCTCAAAACAATTGAGACGTACCAATCTTCTCCAAGATGTCATACTTGTCCGCTTCAGCCAAAGCAATCGCCATGGTGGCTGTAGATTGCAGTCAACAGATCGGTGTAAAGAGGAAGGAAGGGAAGAGAGATGAGGGCAATTATGGCATGGACGAGGTGGGGTGGTCCAAAGGCCCTGTGGAGGTTAGTAGAGAAGTGAATTGAGAAGAGAAGAGAAGGTGGTTTGTGGTATGGTTGGAGCTCGTTCTTTGGCGTTGAATGTTTAGGGCACCCGTGCCGTTGCTGAGCAACCAACGGAGCATGGCGCTTGTCCGGCCCGGGAAGGCGGTAGCCCCCAACACAATGGAAGTATATGATGAACCCTGGGATCCCTTGGGATTGTCCTTTCTGTCAGTAATCAGGACTGATGCTGTTCCCTACCTGCATCGCTCATATCCTCAAATCCTATCTGTCATTCCACTTGTATCCCCCACGCAGCAATGGTCGCCACCCTTGCTTGGAGGGCACGTGATGTCTTATCGATAAGGCCTTTCATCATCCCGCACTGCTCTGTAATCCTGTAGTTATCCTGCTTCAGTGCATATCCACACCCTCACCATGGCCGAGCGGAGTGTTCTGCGCAAGGACCAGCTGGAACTCAGCTTACACAATGAGAAGAAGCTGATCAAGGAGGGGACGATCAAGGATGATAACCCACTGGACCTCAGTGAGCCTTTTCGTGAACTCTGCGGTGCTTGCCGGAAGGGCGATCTGAAAGTCTGCCAGGAGAAGATCACCGAGGGGGTTAATGTGAACGCCCGGGATCCGTACGACTATACACCGTTGATTCTGGTCAGTGGAATGAGTTAGAGCACCGAATATCTTGGCAATTAACGTGGCGGTCAATAGGCTAGTTTGTGTGGACACTACGAAGTGGCGCAACTACTGCTCGAGTCCGGCGCACTATGCGAGCGAGATACGTTTCAAGGTGAACGGTATGTCTTTTCACCCCAAAGGTTGCCTCCTACTAACGGTTGTATGTTCTGTCAGATGTTTATATAACGCCCTCAATGACCGGATACGAAATCTGCTTCTCGCATATGACTATTCCAAGTCCACAGACCCGCTGCAACCGCTGGCTGCCCATATAACCTCTCTGCTGACACGGGAATCTCCCGTGACCGCTGACATCGTCGTCACGGCCGGCGACGAATCTCTTTACTTGCATAAGTTCGTTCTCGCAGCACGCTCCCCATACTTCCGCGGCAAATTAGCAGGTGCGCCTGCTACGACAACTTGGAAGCTCCCGCCTACCATTCCGCCAGAAGCATTCGGCGCCGCGATGAAATATCTTTACTTTGGAGATCCTCCTCGGGAATTGAGAAGTGGGCCAGGAACCGGATTTACCGAAACGGAGGTTTTTGCTGGCGTCGACAAGATAGCCAAGTATCTGGAGATCCGCAGTCTCGTGGACAGTATCCTCGATAGCGGAGATCGCAGACTGGCGAGACAACGGAGGACTATGGAGCTGGCCAAGGGACGAGAACAACTAGAAGAGTGGTTCCGGGAGAATGTTCTCGGAAACAAAGTGGTTGTGGAGACCTCCAAGGCAAATGATGTGAAATGGGATCGGAACAATGCGATCTTCGCAGATGTTCTCCTTCGCGCCGATGAATTACCAGATGAGGTGGAGGACGATACAAACGACGCACCGGTCGTGCAGTCTGATTCGCTTCCTATCGGCCCTGCATCCTCCGCACCAGCTTCTAGAGCAGCCGAGCCAGGGACGTCAACCTTGTTTCCTTGCCACCGTGCCATGCTACTTCGATCCGAGTTCTTCCAAGCCATGTTCTCATCTTCTTTCCGGGAAGCCCATATGAAGGACCATCTGAACATCATTGATGTCGATTGTTCGCCTGAAGTCTTAGAAATCATCCTGACCTTCCTGTACACCGAAAAGGCCGATTTCTCCTTGGATGTTGCAGTTGAAGTTTTGTTCGCGGCTGATATGCTATTCATCGAG